GTACTACTCACCATCTCTACCTCAATTTCGAATGGGTTGCTTTTCCATCGTAAATTCGTCCTTTAAATCGAAGTCCAATGTTCAGTTCCGTTAGTTTTCCTGGATGAGGTTGTTCTCATAATGAGCTCACTACATTCAATCGGTTGAACAATAAAATTCTTTGGAGCAGCCCATTGCTTACAGTTCCTTCGCCTTCGTATCCCAGATCTCCTTCGCTCTTATTGTTAGTGAGCCAATGGTTTTTTTTTTCTTAGCAGATCTATTCTCTTCTACCTCTTTACATTGATTGGTTAAGACCTGTTCTACTTTTTTCATAGTCGATTTCTCTCCTTTTCTTCCTGTACACAGTCTTTTGGACTTCGAATGCTCCAATTTGTTTTTCATAACTCATTCAAAAAGAACAGGTGTCTTCAAAGTCAGGAAGAAACGGTTTTTTAAGTGTCGAATGGAAGCTAATTTAAGGTCTCATTGGTTGCATGTGAACATGTGCATGCGCCTTTGAGGTTGTCTACAGATTGGTCATATTTCATTAAGGAGGAAATTCAGCAGTGGGAGATGTCGAAAGCGGTGGTCCACAGCGACGTATTCGTGATCCAAGCAAGCCCAAGCAAGACGAAATCATTCCCGTTTACAGGAGAGATTGTCACGAAGAGGTGAGACCTCAGCTGCCTCAAATTTTATGTCTTACTTCTGCCACCGAAAATCATGAATCATGTGCTTGTGCAGGTATACGCTGGAAGCCACAGTTATCCTGGAAGAGGGGTGTATCTTCTGAAATTCGACAATTCGTATTCCCTTTGGCGATCGAAGACTCTTTACTACCGTGTGTACTACAGTAAATAAAGCAATCACGCCGACGGTACCACGAGAAAGCCATTTTACTGCGAGTGCTGTCTAATCATGTGATTTTCTCTAACTGAGGCTGTTTTTGATCGTTTTTCTGAATTTTTTGTTCTTTTCTTTGCTGGTGATATGTGCAGTAGTACCGAGGGTACATTGTTTCGAAATGATAATTTATTGTGGGATCCTATCATATAGACGTTTAACACAGGTGTTGTCTTCTTTTCTCAACGATGAGTGTCCCTGTTGGAGCTTTTTGTATCACAAAGATGAATCTTTCTGTTTTTGTTCGTCCTACTCAGATATTGTTCTCATTGAATTCTATTATGTGCAAATAAATCGTTATTCCATGGCGTCAATCAATATGAGCTTCGAAAAAGTCATCACTTTGAAGTCTGATGGTACGAAAAGCCGTTGCTAAGCTGAAAGCAGGGTCAACTATCCGTGGGACCAAGTCTAATGTGGGTGATTGCATTTGGCCGACGGAAGAGAGGGAGGGTGTATTCGCAGAAGTCAACGTTGCAAAGGGTGGAAGACGAAATGTAGCGCAGAGAATAAGGGCCTACAGTCGTTCTAGCTGCATTAAACGATTTTAAAGGACGAATTCACGCTGGAAAGGCAACCCATTTCAAATTAACTAGGATGGTGAGTGGTACACGAAAGAAGGAAAAAACCATGAGAAACGGCCCAGAACCCGAGAAATGGGACCCCTTCCTTGCCCGTTGATTTGAGCATTGATGCGACTCTCATCGCTGTGCCCTCTTCAACACTACGCTCTCTCACCTATCTAATCGCCACGTATAGACCTGCGGCGAGTGATCAGATGATCGGTGGGCGTGCACTGGCCCACCGCGCCAAGATTGAGCCTTAATAGGTCGCCGAGGTCAACTTTTTCGGTGCCAATTGCGCTTCAGTCCGCACCCTCAGGAGGTCCGCGGGTCCCTCAACTAGGTGAATTACTTCCTTCTCGACTTCCCATTCCCTCTCCAAATCCTCCTTTAACTCTCGTCCTTTACAGCGTCTTGCTTGCCTCCGCAGAAGTAGGTGAGGGATATAAGTTTCAAGTGCTTCAACGATTGACCAAATACGAGTACATGCGCACCTCACAGCAGAAGAGCCTACAGCAGAAGTGTCCATATTTAATTGTTCACGTATACAAATATTGCCTCGTATAACTTCGTATGGTCTTCAAACGTGGACCTCGCAGTCTAGCTAAAAACGTGACCACCCCCCCTGTCTAGCCTTGCTTCTCCACCGGCTTTGGCCGCAAAACAAATTGGAAAAAAATTGCCCGTGTCGGCTATTTCTTGAGAAGGATTTAGCATCTGTTATAAGAGCAAAGCATCTACCTTGACATGGTTATCATTACTCCTGATGAAATTGCGTTTAAAGTGAGGAGAAAGGGACCGGGACCAGCTCCCGCAGCTTCGTATCAGCCGGCGCTCGTACAACTTTATGTGTGCGCAGTCAACTTGATGCCGCGGGGGGGGGGGGGGGGGGCGGTAAGGTATGGCCGTCAGCTCTCCGAGCGCCCTCCATGCCTTGATTGGCACCACATCTGGGTCCAACCGCCTTTCCAATCTTCATCCTCCTGAGTCCACACCTAACCTCACCCCAGTCCAGTGTGATGGAATTAACTGTGACCTCTGTACGTGAGCTGTTCTTGTGGGGGTTTGGCTGGCTTCCTTGGGATGACACCATCGGTGCCTTTTACACTCTTCACCACCCTGATGTCTTGGGTAGCACGATGCCGGGCCTTAGCCAGCCTGAAGACGAACTTCTCTGCGTTTCTGCTTTCCAACTTCTCGTACAAGGCGTCCATTTCCGTGTTCTTCGCCTTGGCGACGGCAGCCTTAGCGAGCCTCTTGCAACTCCTGTAGGCAGCGAGGTCTTCCGGCTCCTAGTCTTCTGTCAGCGCTTGTAGGCCTCTTTTTTCTTTTTGACGATTCGCTGGAATTCCTCTTTCCAGAACCATGCTGCTTTCTCTCCCCTGATTTTACTTTGCGTCTCCCCAACGTCTCCTTGGCGCATCGCAGGATGGTTTTTCACCAGCGTTGCCCAAGTCGCTGTATTGGCCGTTAGACATCGGGAGTTCCATTCAAGGTCAACCCTGCGTTGCGCAAATTCCAAAATTTTTATGACCCCTTCCCTTCCGGAGGGTATCGGTACGTGGCTTGTTTCTTCCAACGTGAGAGAGTAGATCACGAAGTATGGGCGTTATGTTTATAGACGCGAATGAGCATTCACGCGTATCCTTGGCAAACCTATTTTCACTCAAGCCGTCTCGACTTCGGAATCCATTTCAAATTTTGAAACTTTTCGTCTTGTTGGTAGCCAGGAACCCTTGACATGTTCTCATTCGTTGGAGCAGCGTATCCCTTGAAAACTTGGCTTGAAATAACTACAAGCCTCAAAACATCTCAGAAGAATGTCCCAAACACAAGAAGGAAATTTCGTAACATACTACATTGATCGAATGAAAAACAAGTGATGGAAAATAACAAGGAAAACTCATGAGCAGGAAAAACCAACAGCAACCGTCGCATAACCTTAAAAACTTATTTTAGAGCACTGCCAGCTTCAAAACAGTCAAATAATGCTCGAGACCAGAAATGAAGTATATAAGAGACACCGAAATGAAGAACACGTCGAATAAAAAAAAGAACCAATCAAAAATGAAAACAAAACTTAAGTGGCATGTAAGAGCACAGCAGAACTTGGGCAATACAAATTTCCAAAACGACTGCATCTTTCAAAACAGTACTAGTATGAGTTCCAGAAAAAAACGGATTACACAGCGACAATATTGAAATGAAGAGGAAGTCGAATAATCGAGGCATTAAGGAAAAACAACTGATTAAAATCGCGTATCCAGCTAATACACCATGAAAACATAAACACTGTGGAATTACCATTCGATGTTTTTGTAAAAAACCTTGTCCTAGCTAAAACAGCTTACCTATGCTAAAGGAAGCGCAGGTGGCGTTGCAAAATAATTTTGGCACAGTAATGGTGGAAACAGCTGAGTTCACCGTTAATACTCTGACTCCCACGGAAGAGCTCTTCAGTGACTGTAGCTACGAAAGAGAACACAAGAAATCAGGGCCGAAGAAAGAAACCATGTATGCAAAATTGACGCAGGCCCATGTCGACAAACTTCCATACGTACAAACCGCTACCGCGCTTTTGTCCTCCCTGACTTCGAGATGTGGAGCATACAGGGGTGGCCAAAAAAAAGAGACACTTCACTCAACATTCAAAACGGAATTATTTACGCGTCGCGAAACCAAACCAAATGACCCCAACTGAATATTGAAGAGCACGTTATAATCTATCAACAAGCTACACAACAGCCTTCTACACCGACGACATCAGAAGATTTTCCCACGGAAGCATTGTGCGCGGTACGATCTCAACGAGGTCGTTGAGATACCATAGACGATTACGACGTCTCTGAAACGCAGGTCAAAAGCGGTTTTGCACATTCACAGCTAATGTCTCTGGGAAGCTATTCAACAATTAATTCACTGAGGAAATTGTGTAGCAGCTTCAGGTCGGAGCGATTTCGGTAAGCCTCGTTGAGCTCGACGGTGACGGCAGATGACGTCATATTCTGGAGACGGCAGGGGCAGTGAAGGAGTGCTTGCTTCTGTTTACGGAGGAACAACTAAGGAATATAACGCCATAAAACTTTCATTAACATCGGCTCCCTGTGTGACGAAAAGTTCGATGATGTGCGCCATGGGCTGAGTGTCTCTTTTTTTTTGGCCACCCCTGTAATATACTTTATGTATGCGATCGCAGACACCCTGTCCAGGTGAAGATGCGGGAGCACTCTAGAACAGGGCAGGGAACATCGCTAAATTTAGTAGACCCAGAAAAGAGTTCAAATGCAAGTCTTTCAGAAGGAAAAAACCTAAATCTAGGTTTCTAGCTGAGTCATGAATAATATAACAGGATGCGTTCAAATAAACGATGATGAAACATTTTGGAATTCCTTGCTTCCAATTCAGATGCTGTTAGACGACACAAACTAGGTAGGTCCGTTTCTGCATCCGGAACATTGCGTATGATTACAGTGCACTGTTTACACTAAAAATAATTTTGCATGACCTAAATAACTAGAGGAATCCCTACCGAGCGGAGACAGTCGAATGAGCCAATGTCACTCAAGCCATTCACTGAAAGCCATTCACTCTAGAAGTCTGCTCACTACAGAACCACCTTTGTGTGGAACATGGTCAAAAACAAATACAAAACAGCGCATAACGAACCGAAAATAATCTGCGAGCCAACGCATCAATGCAAGTAAACCTTACTCTAAATACTTATAAACAACGTTGTATGAATGATAACGTGGGGCAAGATATTTCTCTGCAAGTACCTTGATCGAATTAAATTTGTCGATGGACACTCTAAATCTAACCGGTCTGCCGACCTCCAAGGAGTGGTGTTGACGAAAAAATGGTAGATCAGGTAGATCATGTACATGCTCATACCAAACCCAACTGTCTCAGGGGAAACTCTCCAGTTGAAGTTATTGCGAACCTCTTCCGAAGCTTCAACTCTTCTATATGGTATGGTCTATAACCTATAGTTCTATACTCCAATGAAGGTGTGATATGAATTTTGTGGGTACTGCGTAGCACCTGGTTCAGAAAGATCAAAAGAAATTGTGCATTGTACCGTCGCTTTGGGGGCAGTTTGAGAAAAGTGTTGATCTCCTTTTTCGAAATAATAGTCTCATATTTCATTCACAGCATCAGATGCAGCGGATGGCGGACTTACATGCATTTCCTTACAATTGAGATATTTTGAGGAGTCTGGAACAGGATTAAGAAAATAAGACGGCTATAAGACATGTTCCAGCAAATTCCAGCTTTCAAAGAAGCCAAGGAATTAAGAGGATACCAGAACGGGCTTCCCTCTTATTTGATTACCAGCCTACATCAAGATTAAAACCGCTGGAAATGGCCGAATTTTCTATGAAAACGAACTAGTGG